CCTGAGCAACCTGTGGCATTGAGACCAACAGTGACCTGATTTTGGGTAGTCCCCCTGCCTTTACTTGGGCATTTCCTTCACTATCTTCACCTGAAAGACCTTGAAGAATCCCGCATCCAGTACATCTTCCAAACCCATACCCATGTGGTAACTCGTCCTCACACACTTTACAAAGTCTTTTCGGTGCACAGTCGGTCGGCAGGAATTCGGCGGGCTGACCCCCCCCAAGCACTACACAGTCTTGGCCTGGCTCGACGAATTGGAAAATTGACTTTCCAGTCCACTTCATCCTTACTGCTAAATTGGCCTTGTTGTGTTTCCACTGCTGCATATGTCTACTAACATTCCCATCCGAGAACCTCTGCTCACAATACCTTATGTTGCCTAGGTACTCTAGTGGGAATGGAGCATCCGCGGCTTTGGGAGTGAACAAGGGTTTGCGTGGCACTGGATGGTGCCTGGTGATTATTGAACGTCGTCGATCCATGGTCCAATACTCATTGTTTGTTGCTGGGACAAACGGAAATCCCATTTCCCACATTCTCTTCCTTGCCTTGTCGTCAAGCTTGTGAAGACTTCTTGGCGTGTATCCAAGCACCAGAAGCTGCTGGCCCGCCCCTTCCTCAGAAGCATGCCACTTCGACGCATTAAACAGCACCTGGGTTCCAGCTTGATACTGGATCACCCTGCCGGTGAGGGACTGTCCGGGTCTGACTTCCCGTCTCACCTCCTCTAATTTTCTCTGTTCTTCATCAAGTCCATCATCCTGGACCCAAATTCCACCACCGCTAGTCACAACCGGGATTACTATGTTCTGTATCCCTTTTTGGTTGTGCACATCCCTATGGGGCTCATGCTCAGCGTTCCACACCAAGCCCACCGCAGCAAACGGCTCTGAGGACACCCTCTGAATATACTGAGCGAGATACGCCACCACCCAGGGGTGATCCACTGCATTATTCTGCATGCCTGTCATTCCACCAAAGGAGTACCCCCCGGCAAAGAACACCGTTCCCTTATCTTTAATCTTCACAGGCATCGGCGTACTTCCCTGCGTTTTTTCAGACAGCTTACTTAATGCCAGGGCCAACTTCGCTACCGTTTTAGGTGTGAAGTCCTGTTTTTCCAAAAGTCCATTGGCAACACAATCTACCTCATGTTCCGGCTTATCTGACTGCATGATCGGTGCAATCATCCGCGCGGCAGTTTTCTGACGGAGCCTTCTTTCTGGGGCTTCTGGGTCTATCGGCTCGCCTTCGTAAGTTATCACTAGTTTCTTATGATCCTCTGGCGAGGGAAACAACTTACTGGTTGACAGAATGTTCCCATCTGAAGTTACAACTGTCCACCCCCTATCGTTATCCGCCGAGGGTCCTTTTGTCTTGGCCGACACAGTAATTGCGTGCCATGCTCCTCGCCTCCATGACCTCTGCACGACCTGTACCTGGGAGTTATAGGGCACAAAGGCTCGGGCCTTCATGTGCAATGCAGACCTTGCCTTATTCTGCAATACTACGCTGGCCAACCTTGCAGCCATTGGCCACTCCTCTGGTGGTGCCCCGCCCTGCTCCAAAAACACACGTGTTTTGGCCTTCACTCGTCCGATAAGGCTCTCAACTCGGCCATTGGATTGGTGTTCTTCGGCGAAAGCCAAAGTCTTGATGATTGAGTGCTGATTGCAGAAAGCTTTCAACCCATTATTGAGGTACTCTCGTCCTCTGTCTGTGTGAATCCTTTTACCTCAAAACCCAGACTTAGTGCCTCAGCCCTCATCTTACGGATGGCCGCTAATACATTTTGCTGAGTTTTTCCTGCAACCGGTTCAACAAACGGCCATTCAATCAGCTTGATGCGTGGAAGGTGATCCTTCTCGGCTTCCTCTTTCCAGGCCTTCTGATCTCTTTCCAGCACTTTGTCCCACTCGTTGTTGCCGCACCTTGCCTCAGCGACCTCCTTTGCACTCAGCGGCTCATCTGGTTCATCTTCACCATCTGCAAGTAGCTCCTCATCATCAAGAGCACCACCAACCCCCTCAGCAGGATCCTCTGGTGCAGCTGGTTCCTCCTCCTTTTCAAAGGCTATTACCGGAACCGTCAGCACCCCTACAATCATATACCGGACACCTTTTGCCATCTCGTCGTCTCCCTTCTTGTAAGGTCCAGCTGTGTCAACTGACAGGCTCCATGCCTCGGGACACAAGACACGCCTATGCTGCTTTCTCCGGGCACTCCCCCGGACACAGTACTTGCAATCGTTCCTGAACGGGACATGCCCCTGCTTGATATGTTCAATGAACCCGGGGTCCAGAGCCTTAAGCTGCTTAATCGAAGCCCCTTTTGAATCTGCCCGGACATGGTGCCACAGCATGTCTGCAACTGCTGACACAAGTCCTTGAGCCCATGCGGCGCCTCCTGCTACCTGCTGGCCAACCCCTTGGATTGTCTCAAGCCCGGGGCCTCGGCACCCTATCAGGCTAGCTGCCGGTGGGAGGTTGGAGGCCAATGTCGTCGGCCTCCGTTTCTGATGCAGCAGGGGTCCTTGATCAAAGGACACTTCGCCAACTTCAAACATGGATGCGAAAGCTCTCCATTCTGGAGTCACCCACAATGACGGGATGTCACTTCCAGGCTGATCCTCTGGCTGTTCAAGAACAAAGACTGGCGCTAGCAACCTCAACCTCTCACTGACTCCTGAGGCAACCGCATGCAGGAACATCATCCTCAACACCAGGATATCATCGTGCCTGCGCGTAGATGCCTCTGGGCCTGAGAGAGTTACCCCCTTTACCGACCCAAGGCTATCCCCTCTTACTCGAACAACCTCTCTTATGGTTTCTCCCGTACCACCTGTGCTTTCAGCCTGGGTATGTTGGTACTTGTACCCTGAGAAAGATCTATATGGGGGGCTTCCTATTACTCCCCGAAGCTGGCCTTTCATTGCTAAACTGATGAGGAAGGCGTATGCAGCTTCAGACAGCGCACTGCTATGGACATCCACATGCAGCAGCATCCACCCACACCGATCGACGGTATCTTCAAAGACACGCCTCGAGTCCTTTTCAGAGAAATGCACCACAATCCCATCAGCCTTCTCGGCTCTGCGACGAGTTCGACGGTTCCACCCTCCAAGTATCCCACTCTGACACAGTGACGGCGGAACCTGCTTCTGAAGCTCGTCTGGTACTTCAGGGAACAACCTTGTGACCAACATTCGCATAGCAGCCAACGCTTCTACTCCTCCCGACCGCATAAGCTCCGAGAGGTCCTCATTGGTGGTACTAACCATGTCCTGAAGAATGCATCTGACCCTTGCTTCATGCACATCCTTTTCTTTTATGTACCCTTCATACTCTGAAATTAAACTCAGCGCGGTGTCGTGGTCAATCTCCGGACACCCTGATGTGGCGTCGACGTCAAGTTGGCCGCGGGTATGATGCCAGATCCGGCAGTGCTCTTTCGTCCAACTCACACGAAAGCCAAGCTCCAAGAGTGCAGCAACAGAGACAATTGGCGTCACTGGAACCTTGCTCAACAGTGTTCCAGCATGGTTCATATGTAGTGTGCATTTTCCACAAGCTAATGTTACTTCAAGCTCTGGAAGACTCAGCTCTGCAGACCGTGCTGTCCTCAAGCATGCCGTCGCCCCCCCGTCAATCAGCCCCTTTCGGCGGCATCCGTCTCCTAACTCCTTCACCTGAGTTACCGCTCTAAGGTGCGCATCAACACTGGCAATCCTCATGCTCTGCAGGAGTTGTGTCGCTTCCTTGATCGCTGCCGTTGCCTCGCCTCCCGACTTCGCCGCATCTCCCTTGTTTCCTTGAGGCTTCGCGGGAGCCTTAGGGTTTGGCTGATCCTTACCTTTTCCGGTCTGCAACGCTTGCGCCTTGGCCTTCGCCTTTGGTTCCGGTGCGGGTCCTTTTCCTCCTCCTGGGGCAACGCAGTCCGCCTTGTGGTGGCTCCCACCGCACGTCCAACATTTCTGCGGTCGGTCTGCATCATGACTGAACTGACAGTTCCGGCCAAATCTACACCCGCTATCAGTGACCCACCCCCGGCATGGATGCTTGGCCTTACCTGACCCACCTTTCGCAGGTGGCTCCCCGATTGAGGCTCCCCCTGCTCCCTTATCCCCTCCTTTAGGCTGTCCTTGCACTGCTACTGAGGCCACACGTTGCTTCTTCGGTCCTTGTTGGTCTCCACCACTCACGGCTATCACCTCAAGTTCGGCCATCAAAGCCCTGGCGAACTGTTCTACCGATGAAAGCGTCGGTACAGTATCCAGTTGCAGTGCCATTCTCGTCGTATTCATACGAAATAGCAGGGCAGGACTGCGTTCAAGCAAGGACTTCGACATGGTGTCTAAGGCATCCAGGAGTAGGGTGCAGTCAGGAATGGCAACACTCATCCCTCTGGCCCTTTCAAGGTGCCTGAACCACATATTCAGAGCATCCACACCCTGACGTGCACTAGTCCCTTCTGGTAGGACCGTAAGCCCTTTCAGTAGTTCTGTCCTTTCATGAAGACCTCCCGGTTGGAAGGCCTTCAGCACAAAGAACACTAAACCTACACATGTAGTGTTCCGAACACTGAGGGCATAGTCGTATATTGTCTGGGGAACCGCCTTGCTCAACATTGCCAATGCCCGGGACTCTAACCGAAGATACTTCTCCGCTTTCAACCGTTCCGAAGGTAACCCTTTTATTGCAATTCGCTCCAGGGGAGAGGCCGACACCCATAGTCCGTAGGCTCTTCGGGCTTCGCTGATCACTTCAGTCCACCACAGGTGAGCTTTTGGAGCCAGGTCATGAATCGACGGCTGTATTCTGTGCAGCCAGTCGCTGCACCGAAGAGCTGGGTTCGGCTCCGACGGAGTGCCAAGCTTTGGCAACTCCCACATAGTCCGTTCGCCTGGCAAGTAGTCTTTCGATGTCTCCTGGGACTCGGCTCGGTCAACGCTCGGTGGAGACTCCGGTGGGGGTCCATCTGGGACTCTGGTTCCTCCCGGAGTGACGGGCGACGGGCCGTGCTTTGCAACTGAAGGCTTTCTTCTTGGGGTTACTGGACTCGGGCTTCTTGTACGCGGCGGAGATCCTTGAGGCCTCGGCGGTGTCCATTCTGAAGTTGCTTGAAAAGGCGACTGAGCTTGGGGGTTGAACGGATTGCCTCGGCCTGACCCCTTAGCTGGCCTCCCGAACGATGGGAGTGGCGGAGGAGGAACCAAGTAGGCCTCTCCATGCTTCTGGGCTGCATCAACCTCTTCCGAAGCTATCGAGAAATACTCGGCACCCTTAGATACAACCTGTACCCGTCCCTCTGCATCCAGGATTCCTTCGCGCTCTACCCCTTCAATCATTACCATAACCCTTCTAACCTCCATATCTACCGAGTCATTACCAGCCTGCACCTTGGTTTGACCAAAGACCTGGCCAGTGCGGCTAGGGTTCATATGTGCATCTGCTGCATGCTGGCCTTGCGCAGTGTACTCGACAGAGGGTTCCCTGGAGGCGAAAGATGCCGCTACGCTTACAGATCCTGTATTCCCTCCTGGGACAGCCACAGCCCCGCTCTCCATGCTAGTATTGCTGTTTCTCCATGACTGCCCACTAGCCCCTTTATCCTCAACCTTATCCCCTTGGCATTGGACTGACACTTGGCCTGTATCTCGCTGCGCCTTACCTGCACGACTTTGACCTGTAGCGACGGGCACCTGACCTGAGAGACTCTCACCTGTGCTGAACGGCACCTGACCTATGTGACCTTGACCTGTGCTGAACGGCACCTGACCTGTGATGTTCTCACTTGCGCTAAACAGATGACCCGTACCTTGACCCGTACTGGACGGCACCTGACCTGCGAGGTTTTCACTTGTGCTGCACGACATATGACCTATGCGACCTTGACCTGTGCTGAATGGCACCTGACCTGCGAGGTTCTCACTTACGCAGAACGGCATATGACCCGTACGACCTTGACCCATGCTGAGCGGCACCTGACCTGTGAGGTTCTCACTTACGCTGCACGGCCTTTGACCTGTGCGACCTTGATCCATGCTGAACGGCACCTGACCTGCGAGGTTCTCACTTGTGCTGCACGGCATATGACCTGTGCGACCTTGATCCATGCTGAACGGCACCTGACCTGCGAGGCTCTCACTTGTGCGGAACGGCATGTGACCCGCACGACCTTGATCTATGCTGAACGGCACCTGACCTGCAAGGCTCTCACTTGGGCTGAACGGCATATGACCTGAGTGCGCAAATGCGGACGCACGCTCCTGCAGGCCTTGGTGATCGCTCGCTGCGGATCTTACAAACGGGGTCCATGCTTCAGAGCTCAGGGGACCTCGCAGAAGCTGCCCAGCTTCACATCTAGCTTCAGTTGAGAGCTCCGACGGTGCCAGAGCAGGCTTTGACACCGCGCATTGTGTCCAGGGAGGCCGGAGCACACGCACCTGCTCCTGCGTATGGCCAGCTGGTTTCAGCTCCCGACCATAAGTCCCTATACCCTTACCTCTTCTAACAGAACCTTCCATGGGCGCTCTCACACTTCTAAGTCCTCTACCTTCACCAGATGCTTCTCCGACTACTCTAAGTCCTATACTTTCCTCATTACGAGGTCTGTACATGCCAAAGCTCTCAGACTCAGTAGTCCTCGCACTCTCTTGACGAACATAGGCCAACTCTTCGCTGAGTGCCTGATTCTGGGCCAACAGTTGCTTCACCAGGTCCTCGATGTCCACATTCAGACCACCCGACCCTTGGTTTCGCTCCTCTGCTCTCCTAGCCCCAGTTTCAGTCCCAGCTCGTTCTCGGCCCCTGTGGATGCCACGAGATTCCGGAGAGCCACCCAAGCCTTGCTCAGCACTGCGATCAGGTTCCAGAACTTCGCCAAAGCTTCCGGGACTTCCGGTTGCACCGTTCTCCCCATCTCGGGGACTTCGATCCTCTATGGCATCTGCCGTGCCTTCGACCGACATGTACTCGTACGGGGGCTCCAGACCATCGCAGTTTTCAAGCAGCTCTCTGGCCTGATCCTCAGGAGATCTTTCCCGATCTCTGCCCCCATATCCTCCAGTGTCATCACGACCACCAGAGCTGGGCATCAGCCCCCGTTCCGGACCGCCAGCTGACATGGTAGCCTGGGCTTCCACCTCAGCTGGGCTTACGCTCTCCTCGAGCACGATATTATCATCCTCCATGGCGCAGTGGTTAGCGTGGATTTGGGCTCATAACCTGTTCAAGGTTAAGAGCTCGCACCACAAAGCGAATTGTTTTCCAGCAGGCACTCAGACAAGAAAGTGAGTGAATGACCTACTCGTTGGGGTTGTACATCTGTACTTTCGGTCTTCTCAGCTAATGTCTATACAGAAAATGTGAGCATGCCCACCAACCTGTCATGACCTATGGTCGGAGCTTCAGCCTGCATGGCTAGTGGAACATGTGTGGTGCACTCTCACCCAGCATCCTGCACTACACGCAGAAACTACTACTACCACTACTACCACTACTACTACTACCACTACTACTACTACTATTACTACTACTACTACTACTACTACTACTACTACTACTACTACTGCTACTACTACTACTATTACTCCTACTACTAATACTACTACTACTATTACTACTACTACTACTACTACTACTACTACTACTACTACTACTAGCAGTCGTACTACTAGTACCGCTAGTATTAGTACTACTACTAATCGCGTCCACTCGCCTCGCGAAAACGCGGGCGCTCTGGCCAGCAGATGTGCTGGCCCTTCAGCACTGTTTGCGGCTGGACAAGTGGGGACCTGTGCTGGCCCTTCAGCACTGTCTGTGTCTGGACAAGTGGGGACGTGGCCTCAGGCGGCGGCTGTCGCGGCGACGGCGGTGTGGGCAAGGTGTCAGGCGTGCGGCGGTGTATGTCGTATCGGCTAAGCTTTGCGCAGCCATTGCCGCCATGGCCCCAGAATCAGACTCGAAAAGCATGGACTATACTGCTGCTGTAAAGTAGCCATCGGGCGCCGTGCAGACAAGCACAGCAGCTGCTAACGGCAGCGGTGCGTCGGGCCATCGCGGCCAGGGCGGTCGCGGTGTTTCGGTCCTCTTGCCCGATGCGCCATCCTTCGTCCAGGGCCTCACACGCCGCAACAGCGAGCAGGGTCCGAGTACCGTCGGCAAGGCTGGTGGCGCTTCACGCAGGATGGACACGAGCTTCGCCAAGCTTGGCGCAACACAACGAGCAAGCAAGGCCCCCAGCCCGCAGCAAAGTAGCGAGGGTGCAGGATCGCCGCTTCACAGCAGGCCTTAGGAAGCTGGGCTGCCATTGGCGACAGCAGGGAACAAAGTTGCGTCGAGGGCCATACAACACCTGGACCAGCGAACTATCAGAGATGCAGGCTGGGAGCATATTGGAAGAGGGCGCATGCTCGCTGCAACTCGTCGCTATACACTGATGCACGAGCGTGCGGGCAACCACCCGCCGGAAGGCATCCTCCACCATCCCCTATCACCAGCATTCGCACGCCAGCCGTGCTTGGACAGCCCGCAGTTGTTCCCTTGTCCATCCCGGACATTGGTGATGAGCCGATTGTCCGGGCACAGCTCAACGGGCCTCGAACCTCGCGCTGTTGCGGCAAAGCTCTGGTTGTACGGTCGCGTTGAGACTCTGTCTTGGCCGTCAGTGCGCCTGTGCTCGGAATGCAAGCCTGCCACCCTGACGCCCTTCCGGAAGCAATCTATCTGCTTCCAGCTACGACGATCACGGCATTTGCCCAATCCATCGCCACGACACTGAGTTGTTGCTTGGACGGCCCCCACGCCTGGCCTGCTTCGGTCGCGTTGAGCCTGTGCATCACGTATATAGTGAATAGTTCCTTCCTTGCCACGAAATCGGCTTGGCGAACTTTGTCGGTACCATTCGGCTTGATGATGAGCATCCAGCATGTCGTGAGCCAGCGCTGCTTCCTCGGAACCTGCACACTTGGCGCGGAACGTGGCGGCCGCAAGGGAAAAGGATGTGCCAGGTTGCTGTAGCAATGTGGTTGAGGTCGTATCTGGAAGAGACGAGCTGCTGCGGCCCGCGATTTCGTGCAAGGTTTCGCCGCATAGCGTGTGCATGTTAAAAAAACCTTGCATTGAAAAGGATAAGCTCACGGTGTTTTGGCGATTTGTGCATGTCGGTCGGCAGCACACTCCAACATCAGGCTCGATCTTCATGCTCGATTTATTGCCAAGTCGTTGTGACTAGGCAAAGCGGCTGCGAATGATTGGCGATGGTCTTGCGAGGCAGAGAGACATCGCAAATCCTTCAACCTGAACCCCACAAACGGTACCTTGCTTTCCGCCGTCTACTGCGATCCGTTGTGAGACTGTTGGAGATGGGTCGGGTCATGTTGATAATACGTATTGATGCTGATAACGAGGATGACAATGATGAGGATGATGATGATGATGATGATGATGATGATGATGACGTTGATGATGATGAACGTGATGGTTATCATGGCAACACTTGTAGCTGGTAGGGAACCACCTGAGCCCAGGTTCTGTGCTGGTCTCGATGTGGTGGGTGACGCCATTGTCACTGGAGCCCTCCACCAACAAATCCAATGATGATAAAAATCGAGAGTTTCGTGTCATCGAAAGCCGTCAGTGAAGTGAGGGCAGATCTACAAGTTGACGGTAGCATTGGCCTTAGTCTCTGCTTCGGCGACCGTATGTCTCACACCATTTATTGCGGATGCGGTGGGTTCGATTCGCCACACAGTATGTCAAAAACCGCCTCGATCAGTTCCACTTTCATTTTTAAACCAGCGCGTTCCACCAAAGACTTCTCGCCTTGGGTGCGTTTCCCTTGCACGGTGTGAACCCCATGCAAGTACAGGTTCATGGTGTGCACTCCCCAGAGATTATAACACAAGTACACAAGATACCCTGGGCCCTGAGAAAACTTCGCCAGTGCCGACCTTTCGGGTTGGCACGGTCCACCTTGGAAAAGACATCCATCGTGCTGAAACAGATTACCAGACAAACATCTGTGCTGAGGCAAAAACACACGTGCGGGAGTTTCGTCGAAGTTGCCAAAGCCATCCTTCAAACCGACTGTGAGACGCTGTCGATACCGACGCCTCTGTTCCGGAACTGGGTGGAAAATGGATCTCTAGACTCTGGACAACCAACACGGACAATCTCTGAGTCCTCGAAGGCAAGCTGTTCGGCGTCTCCGCGGCGAATGCCTGCTTGCTGGAATGCCGCCGCTGCAAACCTTGATGCTTCAGAGTTGACAAGTTCGGCTACAAGACCGGCTCCAAGATCAGATAGGATAATGGTGCCAAGACTCTTGACCCAACGATCTGCTTCGTTCCTTCCACCTGCTACACATGTCCAATGTCAAGCTTCACATCCACAACATGTCGCTTCCACCAATCTCCAACATCAACGAAACCTTGTGACCTTGCTACATGGGAGTTTTCCGAAAATAGGGGACCCTAATATAGTACCCTAAATAATAGGATTCTTATTATGAGGACCCCAAAATACAGTACCTTAATTGTCGGAAACCCCCACATGTGTCGAAAGTTGCAGTCACAGCCTGGTTTGCTCGCATTGTGCAGGTGTCGTGGATCCTCACGCACCTGACACGAACGTCCAACTTCTGTACCAAAACATCGTCTTTCTTGCTGCATGTACCACGGACTGCCATAGACAGGCTTGTTGCCTCAACACAGTACCTGAAGTGTGCAACAACCCTGCCATTTCAAAATCAATGCTGTCCAAAACATCAGTGCCTGCTCAGACATGTAATGAGGCAAGCCTTTGCGTCGACAGGTGGCTTGAATGATTGCACCGGAGGAATTTTCGGCCTGCCACGGAACACAACTTTTGAAATGGAAGCTCGCTTGAGATCGCGCCATCCACTGCAGCCTGTCTTCTGTCGACACTGCTAGCGTCTCCGTCCATGCCCAAGCCATGAAACTTCATGCCGTGCTATGGCAACGGTTCATGCAAAACGGTGTCTTAATCAATCTGGCTATCACGAACACACATCCAGAATACAATCTCCACTTTGAACATCGTCACAAACGAAACACAGTAGAGCAACAAGCTTCTTGTAGGTCGCGTAGATGGAGATTGAAATCCAATGTCGCATGGTCCATATCAGCGAAACAATGGAAATGTCTGGCGTGTAAACCATGGACAAATGGCGGTAAAGAGGTTGCACAACAAAATTGCACTTCAATGATCTCGATGGAACCAAAATGCTTCGTGATAAGGTTTCTTTGGATCCAATCAAGTGAAAAATTGGATTTGAAATCTAGAACTTGGGTCAAACTAATTCATGTTCGCATTTTGCACGTGCGGTCTTGTCGAAAACCTGACAACAAACAGAAAAAGTAAAACAAACAAACCGCATCACAAAAGAACCGATTCCAAATGTCAGATTTGCAAACTGTTGTTTGACGGGCTTTATGAACTGACAGAGCAATGCAGCGTCGAAGATTCTCGAAAAACTGGTCAACTAACAAACCCGTAAGCAGACATCCATCTAACTCTGGAACTTGCATAGTCTGCGACACAGGAAAAATTTCGGACAGTGTGGATTGTCGAAACCAGTTTGTCTGGAGCAACTTTCGCCAACATCGAAGGGGTGCTCTACACAAGCTCGTGTTCCAACTGACCGTTCCCTTTCAAAAATCGTGTGACCACAGTCGCTGTCTTTGTGTCGCTAGCTTTGCAGCCTGTGCATTTCTACAAGGCAGGCTAGCTGTGTGCGTGGTATGTTTGACATGTTAGTGCTGTCTGGATCATGAAAAGTTGCCTTGGAAACCAGCTCTTGCTCCGCTACCAATGCAGCGGGTGCTGCACGGGAGCGTTGTTGTCACACTGCTCCGCTATGGCGAGTCTCTCTCTTATATCCATGTTTCA